CGGAAAGTATTCAGACCCCTTTAAATTTGTCACTCTTTGTTTCATTGCAGCCATTTTCCAAAAATCAAAAAAGTTCATTTTATTTCTCAGTAATGTACACTCAGCACCCCATCTTGACAGAAAAAAACAGAAATGTAGAAATTTTTGCAAATGTATTAAAAAAGAAAAACTGAAATATCACATGGTCATAAGTATTCAGACCCTTTGCCGTGACACTCATATTTAACTCAGGTGCTGTCTATTTCTTCTGATCATCCTTGAGATGGTTCTACACCTTCATTTGAGTCCAGCTGTGTTTGATTATACTGATTGGACTTGATTAGGAAAGCCACACACCTGTCTATATAAGACCTTACAGCTCACAGTGCATGTCAGAGCAAATGAGAATCATGAGGTCAAAGGAACTGCCTGAAGAGCTCAGAGACAGAATTGTGGCAAGGCACAGATCTGGCCAAGGTTACAAAAAAATTTCTGCTGCACTTAAGGTTCCTAAGAGCACAGTGGCCTCCATAATCCTCAAATGGAAGACGTTTGGGACGACCAGAACCCTTCCTAGAGCTGGCCGTCCGGCCAAACTGAGCTATCGGGGGAGAAGAGCCTTGGTGAGAGAGTTAAAGAAGAACCCAAAGGTCACTGTGGCTGAGCTCTAGAGATGCAGTCAGGAGATGGGAGAAAGTTGTAGTAAGTCAACCATCACTGCAGCAATCCACCAGTCGGGGCTTTATGGCAGAGTGGCCCGACGGAAGCCTCTCCTCAGTGCAAGACACATGAAAGCCCGCATGGAGTTTGCTAAAAAACACCTGAAGGACTCCAAGATGGTGATAAATAAGATCCTCTGGTCTGATGAGACCAAGATAGAACTTTTTGGCCTTAATTCTAAGCGGTCTGTGTGGAGAAAACCAGGCACTGCTCATCACCTGTCCAATACAGTCTCAACAGTGAAGCATGGTGGTGGCAGCATCATGCTGTGGGGGTGTTTTTCAGCTGCAGGGACAGGACGACTGGTTGCAATCGAGGGAAAGATGAATGCGGCCAAGTACAGAGATATCCTGGACGAAAACCTTTTCCAGAGTGCTCTGGACATCAGACTGGGCCGAAGGTTGACCTTCCAACAAGACAATGACCCTAAGCACACCGCTAAAATAACGAAGGAGTGGCTTCACAACAACTCCGTGGCTGTTCTTGAATGGCCCAGCCAGAGCCCTGACTTAAACCCAATTGAGCATCTCTGGAGAGACCTGAAAATGGCTGTCCACCAACGTTTACCATCCAACCTGACAGAACTGGAGAGGATCTGCAAGGAGGAATGGCAGAGGATACCCAAATCCAGATGTGAAAAACTTGTTGCATCTTTCCCAAAACGACTCATGGCTGTATTAGATCAAAAGGGTGCTTCTACTAAATACTGAGCAAAGGGTCTGAATACTTATGACCATGTGATATTTCAGTTTTTCTTTTTTAATAAATTTGCAAAAATTTCTACATTTCTGTTTTTTTCTGTCAAGATGGGGTGCTGAGTGTACATTACTGAGAAATAAAATGAACTTTTTAGATTTTTGGAAAATGGCTGCAATGAAACAAAGAGTGGAAAATTTAAAGGGGTCTGAATACTTTCCGTACCCACTGTATAAGGCCACAGAGAACCTTGCTTATAATGTTGATACTCGAGCCCAGCGTGAGAGTAGTGCTTTCACAGGAAGGCCTGATCAATATGTTATCCCCAAATTATGTTTTGCAATACCTGGATTGTACTCACCAATTAAAGAATAAAGACATGGTTTACTTATCTAATGTATATACTGTATATACTGTATATACTGTACAAAAGCATTATTTTACCAAGGCAAACAGGTTGTGTTGTTTGTTGTTGTCAACAATAAATAAAAAAAGATTCCTTACTGACCCTAAATTGCTAAAGATTTAGAAGATATTCCCATTGTACCGACGTATACATTTCAACACACATTTAGGCTTTGTTTTTACTCAGATACTTTTAAGTTACACACAGAAAGGAAAGGAAGTTGTACTCAACCTTTAAATTGAATATTGCTTTTTTTTTTTTTACAAAATAATGTGTACTAGAAAATAATTTAGTAAAACAAATCTTAGATGATGTCTAGTGAGCCTAACAATACATGTCATTTTAACATAAAATATTTAAGTTGTAAACCTAAACATTACCACTCAAATGCAGATTTTGTTTCTACTCAAAGGTTTTAAGTTACACAAACAAAGAAATGGAAGTTGAACTCAGCCTTCAAATTTAACGTTGCTGTGACTAATTCTTACTAAATTCTGTGTACTAAAAAATAAGTTTGTAAAAAACACAGAAAAGTGTAATATTTTTGTGTTCAGCATAACACCGCTGTATTTTTTCATTTTTTCAGTTAATTCCACTTTCAAAATAAGTGCACAATCTGTTTGTTGTTAACTGTTAAACTAATTAGGCTGTATCGGCTTTAAATATTGTTGTAAAACTAACTCTTATTATGTCAAACATACAAGGGATGACTTTTTGTATCAAGTGAACATAAAGTTTTTGTCATGTTGATAGTTCTGAACATTTGTGCAGACTCACCATTAAAATTTTACATCATGCACTAATGACCTTTAGTCATTACTTAAATACATATATTGTTGTGAAATAAAAAATCAACTTCTGAGATACTGTTAGACTTTTTACTTGTAATTGTTAGTTTATTGAGCTTGGATGACAAACAAATTATGCCTATTGATTCAATATACTATCATGACTTGTCAGAGTTTAACATTTTCAGTTAATCAAAAAATAATTTAATTTTAAATTCTGTTAATGTAAAATACAATTTGATGACATGTAAACGGCCCACAGTTCCCCTCTCCTTCATGTGCGGGCATGTTCAAGGCCAGACAAGTGACCACAGGGCCACAGCTGAAACTCATTAAAGTGTAACATGGTGAATGGTAAGTAATTTTATGCTTAATTACACATATTTGCATTCGCTCAGGATCCTGTTGGTGATAGCCTACTGTAACCGAATACCAAAATCTAGAAGTCCTTACTCTGAACTTTGAGCAGTGTTGATAGTACAGTCTGTGTGCCGAGGTAAAATTAGCGAGTAGCTGTACCCTGTCACTGATTGAGTAGGCTTAAATGCGGGAGTAAGTAATAGGTGGCCAGGTAGCCAGGGAAAACATAATATGGGATTACCCATTAGCCACCGCTCCGGTTAGCATGTAGGCTAGCTACGTTTATAAACTACAAGTAGCTATGTTAGCCAGTTAGCCACCTGCAGAGATCAACTTAATTATTAAGTTCATGTTACTTAGAAATGTGTTTTATTGTGGCCAAAAAGCTTCTTCACCTAACTTTATTTATGTTGGATAAATGTTGTACATTATGTTGGATCAACTTAAATACTTGCATTCATGTTGACAATTATTAAGTTCATGTTACTTAGAAATGTGTTTTATTGGGGCCTAAAAGGTCATTCACCATACTCAAAACATTGCTTTGAATTAATGTAATTCTGCCAGCAGTCTTAACTTAACAATTCTAGTGGAAAACGTTAACATATTTTTTTTTGTTGATCCAATGTTTTATTTTTTAGAGTGGGATGGAGTACACTGTACATCATGGATGGAATCATGTATGATTAGAGCTGCACTTTACACATTTGGAGGTCTTTAGTTGTATTCCTTGGGAACCAAAGACAATCCCCTGAGTTAACTGTCAGGTTATGTGAAACAAAAGCAGCTGAATAGAGAAATGGCGACACATGCTCGTATGGATCGGCCTCTTGGTGGTGTCAAACAAAGCACTGATGGCTGCAGCTCAGCTGAAAATTTTAGTCTTTTTCTAACGTGAAAGCCAGTGCCTGCCTCTGCCAACACAGATAATTTGATCCAGAAGAGACCCAATGACCCAACTATGAATCCATAAGGAGACAGATACTGCATGTACTGTAATCTCTTTAGACACTGATTACAAACTCAAATACATGACACAATACGCCTCAGACGACTAAGCTTTGTCTTGTTCTTAAAGGTGATTTTACACATATCTCAACTTTGGCTTGGAGACTCCAAATATCTTAAAGAAAATCTGCATTACAAAGTGGGAAAAGAGGTGGGCGTTTACTAGAAAGGGAGGATGTAAATAAAAGCTGCTATTGAGTTTCACTGTGAGAAATATAGGTTCCAGTGCTTGGGATCCTGACCAAAACTATAGACAAAATATCAGGATATCTCATCCTCTGCTGCTTCTCTTGGACCCACACTTTATTAAGTGTAATACTATATTGTTGGAGTACACTTTAATTAATCCTTACTGTTACGACACAGTCATCATCTCGGCACAAAGGCTGTCACTCTGAATTGTTTTTAACATCAGAATCAGCTTTATTTGCCAGGTATGTGTACACATATGAGGAATTTGACTCAGGATTGTACATTGCTCACGATGTGCTTACTCATACAATAATACAATAACACAATAATAAAATCAAACACAGGCTACAGTATAGAGAACACCAATATACACACTATAAACAGAAACAAAAACAATATAGACATATTGACAAATAGTGCCGTGAGCAGAGTGCAAAAGATGCAGGAGTAAAATTAGTATTATCATTATGTATATGTCAGAGGTGGATGTGATATACAGGTACACATATACATATATGTACATGTACACAGGGCGATGGAGCATAGTGCAAAGGATGCTGGAGTATTATGCAGGTTTTATGTACTTGAGGTAGGTGGGTTTGGTATACGGTATATACAATATATAATATATGAACAGTATGAACAGCACTGAAATAGAGAATGATGAATAAATAATAAGTGGTAACCAGTAAACAGGTGGCTGAATAGAGGCAGAGTTACTGGGTTATTGCACAAGAATTTTTCCTGACACTGTGAGTCAGAGTCTGCTGTTCATCAGAGTGATGGCTTGTGGGAAGAAACTGCTCCTGAGTTTGTTGGTTTTGGCGGACAGTGCTCTGTAGCGCCCACCAGAAGTTGGAACAGGTTGTGTCCGGGGTGAGATGGATCTGCAGTGATGTTTCGTGCCCCTTTCCTGACTCGGGAAATGTGTAAGTCCTGAATGGAGGGCAGGTTGGCACCGATGATCTTTTCTGCAATCCTGACTGTCCGTTGTAGTCTGCTCCTGTAGTCTGCATTTGGGTATTTTAAAATTTTACATATTGCAATGTAAAACAAACCAGATAAATACTTAATTAGGCGACTGTAGTATTGTAGGTTCTGATTCTTTCTTTTACAGAATGATGATGACATGTAGAAGAGTGGAGGGGGAGTTCAAGAGCTTCACTGTACACACCGCTTCCACAAAGAGGTAAAACATCTTTCATAAGCCAGACGCATTGCATGTCTCCTGTTCACTGTGTTTAAACTTCCCCGACCTTCCCACTGCAAAGGATTCTTCACTCATTCACTCCAATCGCAGCATGTCAGATAGGCTATCAGATCCTTGGTGCATGAAAACAGCTAATTCCAGGATATGCATGATGTGCAAGGTATGAAAACAATCTGCCTACACCTGAAACTTATCTCTGTGGAAGCATGGAGCACTAAAACAGCTTCCCCCTGGTCTGAGGACTTGACACTTAGCCTACTGATCATGATGTCTCTGTTTGGAGGGTGCTGAAGGCACCTCAGAGGTCGGAGCAGTGTCGGCCCCGCAGTGGCAGTGAAGCAGCGGCTTGTCAGGTGAGGACGGGCCAATCTCCACGGAGAAGGAGCATCACACATTCCGTCGAGAACTTTTCCTGTGAAGACATCTATCATTCTATGGGAAGAGGTGACTCATAGATGGAAAAATTTGAGGAGGACATCAGGATACTCTCCTGAACATTTACTGCATTTATGGTGTGATGTGTTTAATCTCAGAGCCGTGACTGTGCCTGACCTGAACCTGTAAAACGGCCCCCTGTGGGCCCCATTGCTATGTCAGCTTTGGAGTCTTCATAAGTCTTTATTTAGGAAGATCCATAAATTGTAATTCACAATTGTTAAAGCATTTTAAAAGTTAGAATAAACTTTTTTTGAAGAATATGTGACTCTACATATTAGCTCTACCACTTTTATAAATGAGATGTATAAAACATTTGCTTCATAGTAGTTTTAATTTGGTTTCTGAGATTTCTCTTTACTTTTGAAAAATAAATATCTTGAAACAGATTTTTTATGACTTAAACCATTTTTTACACTCCTTTGTCTGACAATAACAAAGTTAAAGTTACACACTAACTTCAGAGTGTCAATGGTACTGTATATTGAGTATTTGCATATTGTGCATACTTATTGTGGTCAGTTTGTATGTATTGTGTTCTCAGTCCATGTTGATGACAGGATTAAATCTTGTGACATGGACAGAAATAGTAATACTTGCGGCTTCTGGATGACTTTGCTAATCTGAAAGTGAGTGAGTGCACCTATCTGCCCGTGTTAATAATCTTTTATGCCCGTGTTAATAATCTTTTATGCCCGTGTTAATAATCTTTACTCTGTGAATCCCTCTCCTGAAACTGTCGTGCCTCATTTTCCATCCGCGCCATCCTCCTGCCTTATCTATGCTGTTGTTGATGTGACATATTTCACGTGTGAGGTCTAATTGAATGTCTTCCCTGCTGGTGTGTATCTTGCACTGCCAAATGAGACTTTACAGCATGTGCTAAAAGTCAGACTGTCTGCATATTTATCCATAAAAATAAGTGATATAAATGTGATTTTATTTCTAGGGACTGACAAATACTTGTCTTTCCATGTATCGGATGTACATCACTACATTATTATTATTTCATGTGATCTTAATTCATAACTCCTGGTAATCTGGTGTGGTCTTGCTTGGATTTATGTTCAACCAACATTTATCTGTGTGCACTCTGCGGCACAGATGATTAGAATAGGCCTAATTATAACTGTGAGACTTCCAAGTTATTTTTATCTCTTTAAAGGGGAAAAGACATTGTAACCAAGTTATATTTACTGTCCTCTCTGAGAGTTGAAAATTTGTTTTCTGGATTTTCTTTCATACAGGACATATGAAACATTGGTTGATGTCTTACATCTTAAAGGATTTTTCCAAAAATAAAGAAAAGCTTTATAAAGCCAGCTTGCATTCACTGCTTCCCCCGAGAACAAACTGGTGACACACAGCACCATTGTGGTCTTGCACTCTTCAATAAAAACACACTGAAGTGACACCCCCTTGCTTATTATGCTTAATGTGGTTTTCTTTCAACAGACATACACTTATGTGTGTCTGAATATATAATTTAAATTTCATTATGCCCTGCAGCCTGTAACAAGTCCAATAATAACACGTATTCAATCTATCCAACTCTCATAATAACAATGGCAACAGCATTATAGATCTTTCTCAAGGCAGACATTTTCGGCTTAGCAGGTAAAGCACAGGCGTAACTAATAATACTAGTGATGGCTCTATTCCATCTAGATGTGCCAGTAAGTCAGCATGCACAAGATCAAAGCCCTATCACAGACACACCAAACTAAATGGAACACAGTCATTTTAAATGTTTTTTGTAACATCTGTGTTTAAAAAATGTCCTTACTGTGTCTATTGTAATATCTATTGGAAGTGATCCAGATGCTGCTACATCCAGTTTCTTGATTAATTGTTACTTTCTGTTCCGATTTTGTCCTATATGTTATTTTAATTCTTAATATGGAAAAATGTATACAGCAGATAATGTACAGTAAATATAGTCCAGTTCTATTTCCCTACGGAAATGTAAGGAAAACTTTTTATATGTTATAAATGTAATATTCTGTTCGAGTATTTTATTTTAAGGTGCACTGAGGAGTTTTCTTGTAAAGTTTATACTCATTACATTTATTCCTTTAGCTGACACTTTTATCCAAAGCGATTTACAATTGCTATGCATATCAGAGGTCTTGCTCAGGGAAACAATGGTGGATGAGTCATAGTGGGATTCGAACCCGGGTCTCTCACACCAAAGGCACGTGTCTGATTCACTGCGCCAAAGCACCATCACCATCCCGCATTATTAGTGCATTGTTTCTTTTTTTCTGCTCACTGTAGATCAATGGAATAGCATGAACCTGATGGCAGGAATGTGTATTGCGTCACGCAAGTGCTCACGCATATGCTGTACATATGCATCCTCATTGATGAGAACAAACAAATCGGGGGATCTACTCGTAAAAACTTTGCTCTAGAGCACTATTAGTGGTCACAAACTTCAAAGGGTGCCTTTAAATTTTACTACTCTCAGGCCACTAAAATGATAATTAAAGGTTTCAGCATTTCTTCCCCAGAATGTTATTCATGGCCGTGTGGAGAAATCTTTGAAACATTTTTTAACATCATGTGAAATTTCAGAAAATGTTTATAACTTGCTTAAAGTAAAAATGTCTGATGGTGTAACTACCACACAGGGTGTATAGCCCATAACCAAGGAACCCATCTTTTGCTTGCAGAATAGTTAGTTTTTCCTCCTGTTTTACAAATTACAAATAAATAGTCATACACCCTGAACAGATAGCAGCCGGCCTAGCTACTAAACTATCAAATAGTGTTTATTAAAAAGAAACTCTTTGTAACAGTGGGTAGCTTAATGTATTTTATGTTGACTTTGTTGGTTGTTTGTAAACCCTGATTAACACTAGAAGTCCTAATTTGCCTCCATTTCCCACTCTACTATTGCACACAGCAAACCAAACCTCCAGCCAGAAGATAAGGAAGTCTTCCCGCCGCAGCGTACGTGCTGGGCGTCTTGTCCCGGCTCGGCCTGCCCTGCCAGGATGGAAAGTAGCGGTTTCCTCCGAGCAGGGAGGGACCGTGCCGAGCACGAGCAGGCGGAGTGAAAGTGCACACGTGGACACCAGAGACTGACGTGGACTTAAGCCAATGACAGCACGGACCGATGACGCCAGCTCACCTCTACCATCCAATAGGATACTTTATTGGGGGGTTAAAACCTAAACTGTTCAGAGTCTGGAAAAAATTGACAAAAAGGGTTGTGAAACAGGTCTAGTCTGGAGGCTGCTGGGACTCGGTGGAGACAGCAGATGTTTACTTGAAGAGTAACTGAGGGGCATATTTCTTTCTTTGCCACTGGAAAAAAATATTTGTGTGGTAAGAAAATGAGGATTCTTTGATTTTTCTGGCTGAATTTACAACTTTTCTTCTACAGAAACAAACTTGGTAAGACCCCCACTTCCTTTCTTCTTTCTAATCTAAAGGAATTGTAGGCTACTGTTCACTGACTATACAGTGCATGTAACATACACTCATTGTTCTTAGATAGAAAGTAACTACCTCTATAGTTTATTTTACACTGTATATCAAGAAGCTCTTACATTGGACTCACAGTTCACATTAAACCACAAAACTAATCTTTGTGTTGATCTCTACACCCAACAATCTTGTTGGCTCAATTATCTCATGGTAAGACATTTAATGAGCTAGACTCTTATGTTTCTATCGGTTTAGTAGGCTTTACAATCTCTATGCACACGCTTTACAGCCTCTGTCTGCTCTGACAGAGAAAAAACAAAGTGACAGGTCAAGAATGTCCTTAAAATAGTTTGTTTTTCAGTGTACAGCTGGTTTTAAAACTACAGCCTCAACAATTGATGCACTTTAGCGCATTTGGTGGTTCCTAAACTTGAATATGTTCCTCCGTGAAGGGTCTCCATGGTGTCACCAACAAATTGAAAAATAGGGCTACAGCTCACCACAATGTGAAGACTGTATGCATGACTGTAAAAATATACACATGATGTAGTTTTTTGTCTCAGTGTGAGTGTGTAGGTGGTTTCATAATTCATTATTAAATTAAACAAACAGGTAATCAGTGGTGGAGGAAGTAGGTGGCTTTAAGTAAAAGTAACACAAATACACCAAAATTGTACTATAACAATACATGAGAGCATGTACTGAGTACCTTTCCACCAATGAGCATAATAAAATGTGTATTTATTTACTGAAATCCTGAAAAGTGTTGGAACCATTGCATCTGAAAACAAACCGCAGATGTTGTTGTTGATATTATGGGTAAATCAGCCACTGAAGAGTCTTCCAGCAGTACTCCAGTGACATAAGGTAGTGATTGCCATGGTGACTCAAGTGTTTTCCTCAGCCAAAGGGCCGTCTCACACAGATGCAGATCTGTGCATTGAACATCTAAAATAATGAGTTTGTATTGAGTGTCCTCCTTCAAACGGTTCCCTTTGTTGCCGAGCAGAATATTGTCTGTCACCTCCATCACAAAGAGAGGACAGCCACGCACCTTATTTTATTCCCTGCTCGCTGTTGATCTCACTGCTTTGCTCTCAGACTTTACAAAGCATCATTTATTGCTAAGGGGATGGAAGTAAAACACTTTTATAATAATAATAATAATACATTTTATTTCTATAGCACATTTCAGGACACTCAAAGACAGAAAGTAGAAGTTATGTACATTTAAAACAGTTTAAAACCTTATTCTCTCTTTCAAGTCACTTTGTATTTACAGTGAAATCACGAGGAGGCACACAATGGATTAAAGAGAGCACAGCACATGACTGATTTCTTTTTTCTCTTTTTTTTTGGAAGCCTGTTTGTTTTTGATCATTTTTCTTTTATTGGACATACGTTTTGGTCCCTTGAGAGAATAAACAAGAAAGGGAAAACAGCAGATGCTTACAGCCTCCTGCACTCACAGACACCAGTGCACATTATTCAGGCGCAGGTTTAATTGTCAAGGAAACCATGGCTAATTATTACCAAGGACAACATGCAATCAGTGTACCGTTACAGAGTGAGCATTTGTATAACCCAAAAACTGCTTTTCTGTATAATGTTTAAAAAAGGTGCAGGCCTCATGATGCTCAAACAGGTTCCTTTCCCTGTATACTTCTACCAAGGTCAGCTGAAGAGCCGTCGCCAGCACACACACTAACTATGCTGGAAGAACACTGACTTAAATATAAAAAAAGGGGGTGATTATGGGACACAGGTGGAAACAATCAAATCAGCAGGAAAACACACGAGAACGAAGGGAAGTAACCAGAAATGAGAGAATACCAAAGAAAAAAATCCCCATGCTAGTGGAGGAACACTTTGTATAAACACATAAAATATATGCTGAATTGTATAAGAGTTGAAATTATCTTTGTTTTTATCTATTTACTGCCTGCATTTGAAGGAGACTAGAATGTTTTACTTGCTAGTGTAACACAGAGGCAATATTGAGGACAAAACCCTGATTCCGTGTTTTCTGTTTCATTGCAAGAAGAAATGACAGCAATCGTGGCTTCCCTTCGTTATTACTCTGCAATGATGCTAACAGATTTGTTTCCTCCTGCCATTCAGGTGTCGTGAGTCATGGGAAGCTTCAAGGGCCATGCACTCCCTGGAAGCTTTTGTCTGGTAGCTGGGATCTGGTGGACAGGAAAGCACTCACTCTGGCACGCCACACGCAGGAACAAGAATATAGGTTCCACTCGGCTGACCAGCAGAGCCTCACAGCGCCGCCTGGAGATCATCGAAGGCTCTGTCATGCTCTTCTTCTCTTTTGTTGGTAAAGTCTTTTTATTCACTTATAAATTTTAATGCATACTGTGTAAGTAAAGTATGACACAAATAGGCACTTACAGGATTCTTCCGTTGTGCTCCCCAGGGATGCTGGCAGAGCAGTTTTTAGCAGATGGGCCAAAACTCCAGTTGTACGACTTTGAGGAGAAACACTGGGGAGATCTGATGAACTGGCAGCATGCCACCATGTATCTGTTCTTTGGCCTGGCAGGGACTGTGTCTCTGATCATCCACACCACAGAGGCGGCTCCACTGGCACTGGATAGGTTGATGATGGCTATTGCTTTCTTTAATGAAGGTAAGGAAAGGGGCATTTGAATTTTCCAGTTGCCAAACTTTTTTTAAGAGGTGGGTTCATTAGAAATTTTAATTTTAGAAGTAATCAAAAAGTAATTAAATGTAATAAGTTATATTACTTTGATAAAGTAATTGAAATAGTTACTACTACTATTACATTGTAAATAGGGTAACTTGTAATCGGTAACCTTGCCAATGCTGTTCATACCATTTTAACCATATTATTACTTATCACTTATTTTCTATTTCAACAGTTTAAGCTAACTATTCCAACTGTTTATAAATAAATTTAGCAAAACTTTTTCACTTGTTTATCCATTACATTTAGTAACTATTTGAACTGTATAATGATTATTTAAGCTTCTTTTTGACCGTTTAAACATTACTCTTAGCTAACTTATCTTAACCTTATCTGCACACTTGCTAACTACTTTTCACGTTTTCACTATTAACAGATTTTTTTGCACATGAATGCTTATAACTGGATGACAAACAAAATGCAGTCAAGATGCCATTTGACAGTTTGACAAATGTCAGCATCTAACTAAAAAGAGATTAATGGGTGAAAACGTATTTTTCTCCACCGCTCCTATCCTTGATGACTGTTTTGTTTTTGCAGGATTTCTTTTCCTCTACCATCTCCATGGCAGGAGTATGCTGGACGTGCATGTACATCAGCTCCTTCTCTATGCCATCTTTGGCAGTGCTCTTGTTGCCTTACTGGAGGTCTTCCACCGATGTAACATCATTCTGGAGCTGCTGCGCTGCGCCCTCACTCTTCTGCAGGGAAGCTGGTTCTGGCAGGTAAATCTGAATGTGTGCGTCTATAAGCAGAAGTTTATGACAAAACAGCTCCTGATACTGCCTTCTCTTTGGCCGCAGATTGGTTTTGTGCTTTACCCTCCCCGTGGCCCTGAGTGGGACCTAAAGGATCATAACAATATGATGTTCGTCACCATGTGTTACTCCTGGCACCTTGCCTTCGCCATGCTGGTTGTGGGCGTGCTCTATGGCACCGTCAGCTGGTAAGAACCTGCTCCACACCAGACGTACCATTGGCTGCTGCTTTTTGACCTTACAGATTCATCCTCACAGGGAATAACAACTTGAGTGGCTTTAATTGCACTTTCTAACAACAGTTTATGTTACGTGGGGTGTTTGTTGGGCTTTCTTTGTAGTGTGGTTCGCTCCAGATTGAAGAGGACTCCTCCGATGGAAATGGGACTCCTGAAGCCCAGAGAGAGGGATCCAGAGTCAGAAGATGAGATTTTATGAAGAGGACTGTTGCACACCTTAAGACACATGCATATTGCAGTTGAATCAGGGATATGCTGGTTGCAGCTCCAGCAACAGTACAAAGAAATGGGAGAAGGACATAGTTTCTGGATGCTTCACTTTTGAAATATATCTCTACCTCTGCCTTATTTAATCAGCTATAAACCCCTTTTAGCTTTACTCTCATTGTGCATTGCTATTTATTTTACTGTGGCCTCATACTTTTCATATACTCTGTCATATCTTTTTTTCATTATTAATTTGCACATGCAGTATAATGTATTTATGGATTGCATGATTTTCATTTTGACTCCAAATTTTCCTTGTCAGACATTTTGGTGTTCAGTAGTGCCATCTCGTGGTGAAAACAATTGCCAGTACATCATAGGCTACTGTATATTGAAAGCATGTCTTAAAATATTGTACGTGGCTTTTTTTGTTTGTTGTTGTTTTTGTTTCATAATGTTATGAAGTTGAGTCATACAAATGCTAAAAAAATAAGAATGTTATTAAAAGTGTTTGCTATTTTACATCATGTTGCCAATGTTGCCATTATTGTTTATGTCTTCTTTTTGTAGTATTTATTCAGAATAGTTTAATATCTTAACAAAATATGACTCCGAAAGGACTTGATGTTTGTCAGTTTTACGAAACACAGTGTGTCACTATTAATGTTGTTTCCTATTTTTCACTATTTTAGTAAAATCGTTTTTGCACCAAATGATCACACATGCATCACATAATCATCACAGCAGGAGGTAAAAATAGTTTCACATGGCTAATCAACTGCCAATTATGGTCAAACTGCCAAGTCTTTTTGCATTAATTGATGAACAGGTATGATATATATTTTATTTGATGAACAGTCCAGAATCCAAAGATATTTAGTTAATTATCACACAAGACCGAGAAAAACAGCGAATCATTGAAATTTAAAAGAATGACTTAACTATGACTTAAAAATGACTATTAAATCATAAAAAATGGTTTCTGATTGATTTTCTGCTGGTTGATTATGACTAATCAGTTCAGCATTATACATAGGCCTATAGCTTTTTCATTTTGTGCTGACACTGATTCGCCTGACTGGGGGTGGGAGGCAGTGAGTGAAAATCTATCTGCTGCTCCTCCGCTCAGGTATGAGTAACCTCAAGTCATCCACCAGGTGAGCTACCTGACAGCTCTGTCAGCAGCCACGTGACGGTGTTGTCCATCCACGCAGATGTGAGGCAAAAGCGGCAAATTTTCTCTCTCTCGCTCCAGGAAACAATCAGATTTCTTCAGCAACCGAGGCGACTTTTAAGGGATCCTCAGCCATGGATAAATTAAAATCGGTTTTAAGTGGTGAAGAGGCGCGCAGAGATGACCGAACCATTTTAGAGGTAAAAACTAAACACCAGCTTTAGCCTGTACGCAGCTTGGACTTGAATCTCAATTGACGTGTAAAGTGATAAAACTGTGTTGCTGCAGACTGTCAACGAAGCCTCGACTTTAGGTTGGGGAACACGTGTGAAGGGATTCATCGCCTGTTTCGTGGTGGGCGGCGCGTGCACAGTTTTGGTAAGGATCCCTAATAATTTCTGTAATAATCTCCTTTTTGTTGTTTCATGCTCAACACAACAAGGAAGAGCTGTATTGGCCTTACTGGTTCTTCTTGTCCTGAGGAATGTTAAAGGTGTGATTGATTCATTTGGCAACCACTCCTGTCCTTAAAGTGCCAGCTGCTGGTTAGAGATGAAAACCCTGCACTTTATATGTGGCCCACAAGGTCAAAACTCAGCTGTCTTCATGTCTTGTCTTGCAGGGAGTGTGTTTGCTCTTCATCCCCAGGATTGGAATCACTCTCTTCATAGTTTTTTACACTTTTGGAAACATATGTACCCTGGGAAGGTCGGTGTCCACAACAATGAGAACAAATCAGATTAAAGCAGCTGATGATGACATTGTGATGGTTTTACTCTTAGGAGGAATTCGTAGTAAGCATTGATGTAGGCAACATATATTGAATACGATTTTGTGTATGTAAAGTTTTTACATTAAACATATGTTTTTATTCTATGATCCTGTCCCAACAGTACCATGTTTCTGATGGGGCCAATGAAGCAGTTGAAAAGGATGTGTGATAAAACAAGAGCGCTGGCCACCACAATAATGATCGTGAGTGAACAAACCTAATTGCTGATTTGTTCTTTTTACTCTGTTACATACCCATGCAGCCTCGTTTCCCCTGATACTTCTAAAGGGACATAGTAGATAATAAGAAAAAATGGGACAGCATTAACCTGGATAGGACGCTGAGAACTTTGTGTACATCTTCCTTAATTATCCAGGAACTGTTCTCAAGAACAATCACACGCATGGCAATTGTTAAATATGAAAAATTTAATGTAAATGATTTCAACCTGCTCAAATTCCTCTACATTGAATTGGGCACACTGCATCTGAGTCCACAATCTGAAACTCTGCATCTTAATAAACGCCGATGGCCAAACATCAAGCCGCATGCTCAATATCTCCAGTTTGTTAGTCACATTTGTCCCATCCATTTCTCTAGACTTGCCTTGTGTTGACTCTCTGCGCAGCCTTCTGGGTGAGTGAGCTTAATAGAAAAAGACAAGAGTTATGGCCACTTTCAAGTTATTATGAACATGACCCAATGTTGATTAAATCCGATCTCTCTACAGTGGAAGAACATAGGACTTGCTTTGTTATTTGTCATCTTGCAAGTCTTGTCATTTGCCTGGTGAGTCACAATTTCTCTTGGTGGATTTTAACTGATGTTTGATTAAAGGTTTTTTAGTCTGAAATGACTACTCATTTGTGACATAAAATGTGCTTTGTTTGTAGGTACAGTCTGTCATACATCCCATTTGTGAGGTTTGTCATTTAAGCACCATTTATTTAAATCAGCTGCAGAAATGTTCAGAATCAAAATGTCATTCACACCCAATCTGGATATCTGATCTATGTTAATTTCTTTCCAGGGAGGCAATAATGAAGGTAGTGGCAGTCTGCTTGAAGTGAGGTAGAGGCTAAGTATTTGTATTGAGGGGTCCGGCTGGATGAAGTGTTTTTTTAAAGGGGCAGGTCTCTGAAGCTACTGAAACAGCCGCCTCGTGGATCTGCTTCAGGGGTGAACAAGACACATGCATTATCTCCAAAGATTTTTCTTTTTCTTGTTAATGATTCATTCATTGAGATGATTGATTTTAAGTAGCCTGTTGATGACTTATACCAATTTTAAATGAGTGTGGGCTTGATATGTAATATGTCTAAATATTTGTAATAAATTAATGTTCTATGTATAATGTTTTTTTTTGAACACACGACAGCCTTATTATTTCCATCACTGAGGAGAGTAAATGTAACCCAGCACAGCCTGAACACTTGACAATGAAAGCTTCAGATGGCTTAAAATTGACATGTGTGACCTGAAATGGATTTATGAAAAATGCATTATTTTAAAATGTAGTTGCATTCATTATTTAATGTAATATTTGGTGGCTGACAGTTGCTTTTGATCTGGAGGAACAGTCCAAAAGACTAAACCGTTTAATTTGAGGGACTAACAATGGAAAAAATGCACGTGGCAGACACATTCATTGAATTACTAATTTTTGAGTCATTGTGACACTGCACATAAGGTTGGTTTATCAGAAGTTATATTCAGAAGCATAGTTAAAGAGTTTGGGTTTAAATTGTCTTTAACAGTTAAGCTATGAGGAAAAACGTTATCTCATAGCAAGCAAAGTTAGAGACTCCTGGTGGCCAATGCATGAGTAAATATGTTATTTTTATGTTAGTGTTAGTGTATATAAGTTATTTTCAAAATGAGGTAGAGATTTACTTTACCAGTTGTAAATATGTTAATATATAATGCTAAATAAAAATGTGTATAATTTAACTATTTAGCCAACCCTTGTGTTTATCCACCACGGAAGTAAAGTAAAAGGCTTGATGACCTAGTGATAAATGAGTGTGTTAACGAAAACGCAGTTGGCCATTTTTATTCCAAAACTATTATTATTAAAATGTATATGAGCTTTGTTGAGATTTGTCTTTATCAATGTAAAATGTATATTTAATGTAGATAATTGTGACATCTATCAGTGTATACTTACATTGAATATTTATGATATATGTGTGTGTGTGGTAGAGGTGGTGGGTTTTAATAGATGGAAATAAATAGAAAAAACTCAGAAACTCAAGTAGGATGAACTCTAGTCATCTAGGCACATTCACCACACCAGAGTCAGAGACACAGTGAACCAGAGCACCCAGAAACATTATGCTGTGTGCTGCCTGCAATTAGGGAATTGCAGTCCTCCTCACAGAAAACAAGTCAGCAGAACCTGAGCAATCTGTGGAACCAGCAGCCTGCCACCAAGGGCTCGATTATTTGCTACATGTCATCCCCCTCCCTCTCCCTCAGGTCTGTGTTAAGTGTCATTTTTTAGCCCGCAGATAATTAGATGGATTTATTTGTAATGCCTTGCGGGGTTGAATTTCCAAAACATTTCAAATTACAGTTTTTTGTCATATATTGTAATATTTTTCATATTCACCACATACAGTTAGTGATGAAAAGTATCAAGTATTTCCACAAGTGGTGTAGCCTACAGTAGGCCTAATACAACTTTTCATGATTTAGCATGATTTAAATTACATGCTACTTTGCACTTACTACTTAAGCTACCTATTTAAAATATTACGAATGTACGGTAAGTTATCTTATATTGTTTAACTGTATTTTTAAAACATAGGTCATATTTGTATTTGTGAGGTGGCCTACGTTTTTGAACGCTGCACTGTTTTTGACAGAGCCGTGCGCCTTTTTCCCCTGCCCCACGTGACCCAGTCAGGAAGTGTAGCTGAACACAACAAACACTGAGGAGTCGCCTGTCTGTGATACTTCATACTACTGTCTGGAAACATGACAGAAATTTTGTTGAAAATAAAAAACAGCGTAGCGGAAAAGAAGAAGACGGCCGTAGCTCAGAGCGACTTGCAGAAGTTGGGTTTAAGAGGTGTGTTTGTCAACGGAAGTTAAGTTAGACGAGTAACGTAACGTTAAAATCATTAACCAATATCGAGTTGTGTTTATTCATTTGGTAAACGTTAACTGTTAAATAACTTTACTACCTAGCTGAACAGCCGTATTTGTTTTGTCCTCTCACACTAATAACTTTGACGGTTCTCCTACTAGTTGTCTATTATTTCCATTATTCATCTCACGTTCGGTTAAAACGAGTCCCAGCTGTAACTTTGTCTCCTCGCAGGGATACAGCTGAGACCTTACCAGCTGGATGGCGTGCAGTGGTTAACCCAGTGCCTGAAGAACCAGCAGGGATGCATTTTAGGAGATGAGATGGGTCTGGGAAAAACCTGTCAGGTGTGGCACCAACCAGTCTTCCTCATAACTAATAATATTGATGCATGACAATGTTTTAAACAGATACGAATAACAGACCGTTTCAGCCAAATCCCAAGAATTAAGGACTTGCTGCTTTTTCTGTTTTATATGATAGTAAATGCAGTGTCTTTAGAGTGTATGTTGGACTAACAAGCAATAGGACAACGTCACCTTTGGTCTTTAATGATTGTGATGGCCACTTGATAATAATTAAAATAATAGTTGTTGCACTTCTACACTCACTGTTTATGAGCACAACATAGTTAATCCTTGAAACAGTTTTGAATATGTTTTATTCAGAATGTTGACTGTCACAATGTTACTGCCACTGAAAGCAAGGGCAAAATCTGGTTCATGTTTATAGACATGCCATAATGGCTGCGTTTAATGCATTCTGTATCCAGGCTTACTTGTATGGTACACTGGCACACCTGGTGGACTTGGAAGTTGGAAGAATGGGCAGATACTAATGCATACAGAACAGATACAGAAACTTTTGGCCATCATTTTGATATTGTTTGTACTGTATACCAGTAACATATTTTTATGCTAATATTGCCCAGTACAGATGAACTGATATTGAGCAGCTGTAACATGTTTCCACAACTGAGACTCGTCACAGTAATTGCACTGAGCTGGATGTATTTCAATGCATGGCTCATAAATGACATAGGAACTGTTAACTGCCGTGTGAAAAGGTGTCAGGACTGGATATTGTCAAGAATTCATGATCCTGATTTGTCCCTTCAGACGATCTCTCTGCTGGTGTACATGTCAGGAGCTCTCGGCAGGAAAGGTCCATTCTTGGTGCTGAGTCCTCTTTCTGTCATGGAGAACTGGCGGAGGGAGTTGGAATGGTATAATCATATTCATATATGAATTAGTGGTCGGAAATTTTTTTTTTCTTAAGAATCGTGATTCTTTTTCTCTCTAATTCCAGGCTCAAGAAACAATTAATTATTGATTGTTAGATTATTATAATATATTGTTTTTTGCTTTTTCTTAATTATTTATCACAAATTCATTCATTAATTTTAATTTGATCATTTTAATTCCTTAATTCTTATGGCAGTAGCAAATAAATATAGTTGTTTACTTAAAATATTTTATTTACCACTTTTATATATATTTTCCCACGGTCTGGTGTTAAAATAGCAAACATAAATTGTAATATTGAATTGCATATCTTAAAAAACGCAATACATGTATTGCTTATTGAATTAGGACATAAGCATATTGTCCCAGCTCTAATATCAATCATCTGTTTTCTGTATTTAAACTGATAGTCTACTCATAACACCGTGCATCATAGTATGTAAACATTGTAAACTTGTGTTTTTCTTGGTTATAGCTTCGCCCCATCTCTGACTGTGCTGTGTTACAAGGGGGACAAAGAGAGACGGGCTGAACTTCAGAGGGAAACAAACACACAGGATGTTCATGTTCTGCTCACTACATATGAGGTATGCGGCTTTAGATTCAGTGAGAACAAAATGAACTAAAATTTACCTTGAAACTGACTGACGTTTTTTTTCCCCAATTCTGTGATTTACAGCTGTGTCTCAAAGATGCTTCATTCTTGAGACGGTGCGTGAGTTCTGCATTGAGTTTTGGTCACTGAGATTCTGAGATGACATGGATCTCATCATGAGGAATAATGCTATAAAGCTATAATAGTCAGTTTACATACATTGATCCCTGTTCCATGTAATCAATACTTCTTCACTGTGCTCCTCAGGTGGAACTGGAAGGTGCTTGTGGTAGACGAAGCTCACAGACTGAAGAACCAGAATTCACTATTGCACAAAACCTTGACACAGGTACATGGCTGCACCTGGTTTTGGGCTGTCTTGTTTCTTTGTCGTTCCCACTTTAAGCATTGTTTCTCAACTTTCCCCTGTGCGTGTCTTTTGCAGTTCTCAGTTGGTTTCAGAGTCCTGCTGACAGGGACTCCCATCCAGAACAACCTACAGGAGCTCTACTCCCTGCTGAGCTTCATTCAGCCCAGCATCTTTACAGCTGATGAGACGGACGACTTCGTCAACTCTTACTCTGATGTACAAAGTCAACCTGCTCTTGGTATGATAGGCATCATTTTTGTTTTTGTCTTTCTTACTACAATCAGGTAGCATGATGGTCATGTGACCAAGTAGAAGTAGGCATTAGATCAGTAGTAATTAAAGTTTCCTGTGATGTTCAGCGAAACGTGAGTTCCTATTAAGCTTCGCCCTTAATAGGAACGCACGTTTCGCTTTCCTGAATTTGGAAAGATAAGAAAATATTCGTTACATAAATTGGGATGTATTTGATGTGCTGTACTTTTTTCTGTTTAGCAAAAAACTTCTCATTTAATCAATGCTGGCATATTGGGTCATGCATACTGTGCTTCTGTTTTCAGCTGCTGAGCTGCAAAGTGTCCTGGAGCCCTTCCTCCTGCGTAGAGTCAAGTCAGAAGTAGCTGTGGATCTGCCGAAGAAGACGGAGTTGGTGGTCTACCACGGCATGTCTGCTCTGCAGAAAAAATACTACAAAGCCATTCTGATGAAGGATCTGGGTGAGACTTCTGCACTGTGGTATATAGCCTGACCTATAGCTAAATAAATCCAATAATGATATACCGGCCAGTAGTCATTTTAAATAACATAAACAATCAGATCCTTTAGATTAGCTTTTTAAGGAATTGTTGCCAAGATACATGCAAAGTGGCATTTCACTGTTGAAAAAGCAACACGTCAGTGCTCTCTAGCGGAGAAACAATGTAATGGTGACACTGTTTATAAATTACCGTAAACCTGGTTTGTGTGTGAAATTTTCAAGTACACCGATACTGAAGGGTGTAGATGGTCTGCAACAATTCTTAGGTAGTTGGTATGTGTCAAAGTAACATTCACA